AAAATAATATAAATATATATTATATATATATTTATTTATTTATTTATTTTTATAATATATATATAAAATTAATTAAATATTATAAAAAATAATTTATATAAAATTAATTTAATATATATATATAATTTATTAATAATTTTTATATTTTTTATATTAAATATTATAATAATATTAATAATATTATAAATATTAGTTTATAAAATATTTATTATTATTATTATTTTTTTTTAATAAAAATTAATTTAATATTATTCTTAATAATATAAAAATAATAATTATTTAAATTTGGAATTTTTTTTAATTATGTTTTAGATTTTTAATATAATTATATATATATATTATATCGATAAATTAGTATAAATAAATAATATTATATTTAAATTTTTGTTCGGAAAATATATATATATTTAATTATTCAATTTCCCTCCATAATTTTCTATATTTTTAATTTAATAATATCCTAAATAAATCTACATAGTAATTTAAATTTTATATGGTTTTATAAAGTATTTGGGTAATTTATTAAAAAAATCGGAATATATTATATTATTATGGTAACCCGCCTCCCATTTTGTAAGCCAATATATGAGATTTGATGTAATTGCCAAAATCCCTGCACAAATTTGGCGCGCAGATCGTTTTCCAAGAATAGCACCAATTCCCTAGGCCCTACAAAATGACCCCTTAAAATCAACAAAATGATTCCTTACAAAATGAATGGCCCCAACCCAGCCAAATTTTCAGACTGCATTTTGAAATTGCTATATGAATTATAAATCTATGTGCTCGATTTTTGATATATGTTGAATATTTTTCAAGAATGATGAGGATAGGATTTCAGCGGGTGCGTGCGGCCGCGTCCTTTCAGTTGCCGAAAGGCTTTGTTCCTTGGTTCAGCACCAGCGTCTTTAAAAAAATGGGGCTCCCTGCAACAACGGCTTTTTTCTGCAAATGGGCTGCCCCCAAAGTTTGATGGTTCATGGCTCTCCCTACCAAAAATAGATAAAAATAGGGCAAATCAGGACAAACCGCCAAGCCACCGGTGCAGGTCCAGCTTCAAGCGTGCAATGGCAGCACCACTCACAAAGTTGCCACCTCCGAACATCACCGGTTTCTGGCAAGTCGCCAGGCTGGATGGTTGAAAAAATTGCTGAAACCACAAAAAAGAATGATATCATATCGATGATAACTTAAGCAATTTATTTTCAGATAATTTATATAAAATGCTCAAGTGCTGTTATATCCCATCAAATAATATCTCAGTTTTTTTGTCAGTGACCATCCCCCGGCAGAAGCGGATCAAGGCCCAGGCTGATGTCGAGGAACTGCAGTTGCGGTAATGGATCCTTCACCCACCAGCCAGAAAACCTGGCTGTTCAGTTGGCGCGAAAAAACCTAGCCGCCTGGCCATGGAAAATTGATAAGAGATGATAAAAAGATGAAAAAGAGATGATAAAAGATGTTAAAAGAATAAAACATAGTTGTTGATTGTTGATAGACATCTACAGTTGCAGTTGCTCTTCCCCATGGAAACAGTGATTGATATCTTCAGGATTGTTTTTTCCCAGGGAAAATTGGACCAAAATGGTCACTGGAGCCACGCGACAGCTGAAGACTCTGATCGTCCATCATGGCTTGCACCAGGCCTCAGCAAGGGGATCGGGGGGTCATATGTCATCGCTAGGGACCAAGGTGGTGTTGCTTAAATATGTCACTGGGGAATTCAATAAATAATGACTGGATGTGGGTCCCAAATTCGTGGCCCCAGCACGGTGCCCCATTGCCTTGCCCCATGCCAAACTATTCCAGAAATAGACCAAAGGTACCCAACAATGCAGCAAAATCCATGATTTGTAGCTTCATTTTCCCCATCAAAATGGCCATGTCTTGGGTGTATCCTATTCCCGACAGCAGTGATCCGTACTGCCTTCGAGCTACTCAAGCGCTGAAGTAGCGGCAAGTCCAAGTTCTGCAGCACCGCTTGAAGATTTTCACCTGGCAGTTGCTGAGTTGGTGGTTTCAAATGGCTTCAAGCCATCACAACAAGATTGGGATCCTCCCTTTTTCCTCATGAAAAATTAAGGATGCAAAATTAATGTAAAAATGACACCTTTAAAAACACCAACCAATTATATAATCAATACTTATTGCATGGGCAATTGGGATCATGTGGGCCCTGAAAGGGACGAAAAACTACCAAACGCGCTGTGAGTCCGAACAACGGTGAAATTCCTGGGTCCCAAACCTTTCAATGAAGAGGCTCCCAGCCACAAAGCCCGAAGGGAGCCCGGTAGCTGCTTACAAAGGGCACCTGCACCCGCGGCTCGGAGCATGGGATATCTCAGGGATAAGACACTGATGCACCAATATTGGACCAATATTCACCTATGACATCTGCAGTTCCAGACAGAGTCTGTTCCACCAGTTCATCATGAATCATGGTTCAAGCTGCTCTTACTCTTTGCCCAAGGTCTTTGCTAGATTGGGCAGAATTACTCGGAAACAAGGATGCCACAGAAATCGTTTGTGTGCTCCTCACTCGTGATCCGATGAGCATGATAAGCTGCAACCCTCTGCCTACTGTGGGTCGGTGACTGCCAAGCTGATTGGCAGTGAGATCTAATTCTTCCAGTTGAGGTGCCATCTCTGACAAATGTCCTTATCGAGCAAAGCCGCGCTCACAAAAAAAATGTCAAGCAAGCTGTACAGGCTGTACATAAGTCACTCAAAGTTTTAAATTTTAAAGCATGCAAATGAATGTCAATGTGTCCAATGCCCCCCAAAGTTGTGCCCAACCAGGCGCTTCGGCATGTGCCAAGATTCCGAAGGCCTCCGGCCTCAGATCAACGGAACTCTGCCAACCCTGCTATCCCAGTTCTCAATCCTCTCATCCAGAACTTTCTGCAACCAAGCGGCAAAAAGTCTGCCTGAGCAGGCCGCGCCACAAATCATTCGGATGATGCCAACTGGGGTTGTTGGTCTGAAAATGGTGATCCCCGGAAATCCCATGGTTTACCTGTACCCTCAATTTTCTCTGTCAAAATGGCCGGTATACCTTGTTTTCAATATGTTCAAACACATCCAAATGGGAACTCTCTGCACAGCTCGACGCATCGCTGCCAGGGCACCGTCGCAAACTGATTTTCTGCAAGGATCAGCGCGCGAAGCTTTGGAAGAGGCCTCAATGCAGGGTGGATGGATGTGCCCGGCTAAACCTCTGGAAAAACCAATGATCGCAATTCTCTGAGGTACGGACGGCAGATTGCGCACAATCTCTCCAACACCATGAGGCCCGAGTTTGTTTTGCCTCAGATGCTCCCACAAAGGTGACAATAAGACAGCTTGCCAGCGTCACCCGTGGATCCGGATGAATCCGGCAGCTTTTTGGAGTGAATCCAATGGCAACTTCTCATCTCCTTGCTGTTTCCACCTCCACCTCCGCATCGCAGTCTTTTCGCGCCGCGAACGGCGCTGGCTTATCACTTCATGATCCCCACAGGATGGAGGATGGGGCACACAAACGGCCCAGGCATCACGAGGCTCGAGTCTTAGAGCAGGGAAAAGCGACCAAACGTCACTTTGTCCGCCCTCATGGGGGTTCCAAAGGGGTGCCAAACAGGCAAACTGAGCAGCCAAGGGCTACAAACACAGCAGCAACATCAAAAGAGAGGTGGAAGCGGAACTGCAACCTCAAACCCAAGGTCTGACTGAGTTATGATAATTCACCAACCTTAGATAAGATTGTTTTGGGTCTCCCCTGAATCTACCTAACCATCATCGCAATGTCGTCGTGGTGGGGTCATTAGGGTCACTATGATTCACCCCGCCCGATGGCTTCAAGACTCATTTCAGGTTTCAAGATGTTTCAAGTGTGTTTTAGGACAGAAACCCTTACAATAGAAACATGTAAAACCGTCTGCTGCTGTGATTGCTGGCACCTGGCCGCAGCTCTGTACATGGGCTCGGCTCACACAATGTAGTCAAGACCAAAAAGCCGTCGCCGGACTTGTTCTACCAAGGCTGGCATCAAAAGGAAGAGGGGTCCAACCTGAGAGCATAGCACACCATCTGATGAAAATGGACGCCGCTACCCCCATTTTTGTGCATTTTTCATGGAAATGATGATCAACCACTGGATTTAGGGGTACCCCACTTTCAGACAAAGCCATCTGCATCTAATCTATACACTGAGAAAAACAGGTTTTCCTGAAAATGGTCCCTTAAGCCTTAAACCAACCTGATGAATGTTGCTAGCCAACGTGCACCATAGCCCCGGCATCCTACCAGAAATCAATTTTACATGACAAGAAGCTTATAGGTTGAAGCCAATAAAATGTACATGTGATATCATTTGGTGCCATTGTCGATATACTGCTGCGCACCAACAGCTGTGAGGGATATGATATGGCTCTATATAACTGATTAACCCCAAAAATCCAGCATGTGGGTGCTGTAGCCGGAAGTTGCCAATTCTGTTGGTCCATTGTGATGGCCCATACCCACATCTGAGTGCTTGCATCACTGCTGCTTTAAACAAACACGGCTGTCTGGGAAATCAGCTACAAAGGTAGATGATTTTCCTACGACAAAAAGAACGTGCCAGCGGTCAGGTTAAATTGCCAGTTTCAAGCTGATAAATTCAACCAAACCAACTATACCAATGCAGCCACAGCAGCGCGAGAGTCCCATAGTTGTAGCATGTTGTAGCCATTTTCAAAACAACCCCGAACCCACGTCCCACTTCCCCAGCGGCAGCGTTGCAGCCGAGCATCTCGCATGTACGCCGGCAACCAGCCCCTAAAGAAGCCCAGCGGCCCCGTCTCGCGCGCAACGGCCAAAGCAGCTCCGAACATGCTGGCGCCCCCCTTGCCTGGAGTAGATGCGTTTAGAAGCACTTTTAGGATCTTGGATTTGGTGGTAAACCTGGTTTTTACCCCAGTGATCAACCAAGGGATTTATTGTTGTCTCACATTTATCAAACGGAGGGATCCCGAATTCATATGGCTGGAGCCGTTGCAACTTGGAGGTCGACGGCGCCTTCTTGCATCACACGCGTTCGGATCATGTCAGCCTCAGCATCAGCATGTCAAGGAAAATACACCGGAAATCCATACGTCTTGACATTGCGAGGTTGGGCTGCTGGAGGAAACGAGACAAACCTACAGGACCCCCCCGTGAACCAGCCAAGAACCCCCAATGTCAAAATGCAATTTTTTTTTGTTTCTCCAACCACCTCTCCAGGGTTAAGAATCATCTAAGACTCATCTATAAACCATTGATTTTCCGTTGGCAAGTTCACGTAGCAGGCCCAATGTCAAAAAACCATCCCAAATTTCCCAAGAAATGTTTAGAAGTTTGGCACAGATTAGACATTAGAGATGAACATATAGCATCCCAAATCGGAGGCTACATGAGACGAGTGGCGGGAGCCGTGACGCTGGTGCCCACGATGCCCGCAACCAAGCCTGCACCAAAATGGAGCACTGGACCATCGGCCAGGCCGGTTTGCGTCTTGGCTAAGTGCTTGGTGTGCCTAGGTGGCGGGATAGCTTCGCGGTGGGTGGCCCAGTCGATGTTCGCTGCTTTTTCACATGAGAACAACGACCGTAAATCCTAATTCAAACCAACACAGAGATGAACTATACTTACCAATAGTACCGCACAAAGCAGCGGCGGAAGTTTCAAAGATAGGACACTATAGGAGAGGTGAGTTGCTGTGACGCATGGATGGCAGAGCGAATCCACTGATGGACCCAAAGGTGGTTTGAGTTGTGTTTTTTGGAGTGGTTGCAATGGTTGCAGTGGTCACCTCACCCACAACTGCTGGAGGTGTAATGCAGCTGTAGTTGTAGTTGTGGTGTAGTGGAGCTGTAGTTGTAGTGTAGCGCCATTAGCGTAGTGTAGTTGCAGTTGTACTTGTAGTGTAATGAGTGTAGCGTAATGTAATGTAGTGCAGTGTAGTGTGGTGTAGTGTGGTGTAGTGTTGTGTGCTGTAGTGTAGTCTAGTGTAGTGTAGAGTAGTCTAGTGTAGTGTAGTGTAAAAAGTAGTGTAGTTGTAGCTGTAGTTGTAGTTTGTGTAGTGTAGCATAGCGTAGCGTAGTGTAGTGTAATTAGCGTAGTGTAGTGTAGTTGTAGCTGTAGCTGTAGTTGTAGTTGTAGTGTAGCGTAATGTAGTGTGGTTGTATTTGTAGTTGCAGTTGCAGCTGTAGTCTAGTGTAGTCTGGCGTAATGTAATGTAGCGGAGTTGTTGCTGTAGCTGTAGTACGTAGTAATAGTAGTTGTAGTTGTAGTTGTGGTTATAGCTGCACTGTCATCAGTGTAATGTACTGTATAATTAGTGTAGTGTAGTGTACTTAGCGTACTGTAGCGTAGTAAGTTTGCATTTGCATTTGTAGTTGTAGTGGTAGTGTGACGTAGTGTAGTTGCAGTTGCAGTTGTCTATCTATCTATCTATCTATCTATCTATCCATCCATCCATCCATCCATCCACCTATCCATGTATCCATCTATCCATCTGTACATCTATCCATCTATCCATCTATTAATCTATCCATCTATCCATCTATCCATCTATCCATCTATCTATCCATCTATCTATCCATCCATCCATCTATTCATCCATCCATCCACCATCTTTCTATCTATCTATCTATCTATCCATCTATCTGCAAGATTGAAAACGAAGCTATTCTGCGAGACTTCCTCAATTTTTGAATTTGACAACATCAAAAACGCAGCAATTCTGCAAGACTTCCTCAATGTTGACCTTGACAACGTCAAACACGAAGGAATTCTGCGAGACTTCCCCAAGGGCAAAAACGAAGCAATTCTGCGAGACTTCCTTCAAAAATGTTCAGTTGAGTGCAGAGCTGACGGCCTCGTGCCAATGCGTTTTGCGATTTTACCACTCCATCTGTCTAGAGTATTGCGTCTGCCACGAAAAAGTGATGCCAAGTCGTACGAAGTGTTGCACCTGTCACGCAAAATCATCCTAGCAAATCTGAAGATCTGATGCTGGAAATAAGGGCCCTGGCCCTGACCTCCTGACATCTCTGATGAACATGTCTCTTGCACCGCGCCTGCCACGCAAAATACATCTTTCCAGATCCTATTCAAATGCCCCACGCCTGCCATCGCTTTGAAATGCCACAAAACCCTCACGTTTTGCTCACGTTTGACAAGGTGCAGAATCCCTTGCGCCTGCCAGGCAAAACGACATTTGAACGTCCAAAAGTGTTCCGAACCCGTCAGTAATGTAGTGCAGTGTAATGTAGTGAAGTGTAGTGGAAGGTAGTGTAGTGTAGTGTAGTGTAATGTAGTGTAGTGTAGCGGAGTGTAGTGTAATGTAATGTAGTGTAGTGTAGTGTAATTTAGTGTAGTGGAGTGTAATGGAGTGTAGTGGAGTGTAGTTGTGTAGTTGTAGTTGTAGCGTTGTGGAATGCAGTGTAATGTAATGTACTGTAGTGTAGTGCAGTGGAGTGGAGTGTAATGTAATGCAGTGTAGTGTAGTGAAGCGAAACGAAGCGAAGCGACATCTGAACCTCCAAAAGTGGTCCGAACCCCTGGTGTTTTAACATTTTGACTTCAAAATGTGCTTCGCGCCACAACGGCGTGCACTTTTTCCACGTCTCAACTTCCAAAAGTGGTCCGAGAATGGTGTGCTTTGTGCGTTTTGACTTCGATATGTGCTTCGCGCCACAACGGCGTGCACTTTCTTCGGCATCTCAATTCTTAAAAGTGCTCCGAGAATGGTGTGCTTTGTACGTTTTGACTTCGAAATTGCTTCCAGCCACAACGGCGTGCACTTTTTCATCTCTCATCTGGCCAGATGGCTCCGCACCCGCCGTTTTAGCGAGCCTACTTTTCGACCCTCCGTGATTTGGAAAAACACAGTGAATCGCGACTTTTCTACCTTTTCGCGCACCTGCATCTTCTTTCTTCCGACTCTTTCTCTCTCTGATCTTCTCTCTTCTTCTCTTCTCTTTTCTGACTCTTCCATACTCTTCCCACCTCTGCTTTTCCATCTGTCCATATTGTCGGAAGTTTGACTTCTAAACTTCCTTCGATTAGATTTACTAGTAGTTGGGTTGTAATGGGTTTACTAACAAACGAACTATGGTTTATAAACAGGTGAAGCATAGTTATAATCACCATATATTAAATATTCTTAAATATCCATAAATCCCAATTAAACATCTTATCAACCAACTTAGCTATGTGGCCCCACCTGGTAGGGGACGTTAACGAGGTAAATGTCATGGTTTGCTTTGGATCATACTGCAGAAATATATTCGCTGACTCAACTGACGTGTTTCCTCTGTTGGTTCGGCCTTGCACTAAGAACCGCGCCCACTTTACACCACTTCCCAGCTCCGTTTCGCACCCTTCCCAAGCAAAATGGCGAAGACCCTGACACTTTTCCCAGAAACTATAGATGCTAATAGTGGCTAAATGCATTTTGGCGGATTCGATTCCATTTTCTGGATCTGCCGAGCTGCTCATAAACGGGCACCGTGCCAACAGTCATACAAATACTTCTGACCTTGCGCCGGCCGCGATAATATACAGTCTGCATACTGGGCCTGGCAATCCCCCCCCCACACACAATTTGGCTAAGCCATTTCGAAATACTTTGAACACGTTCTGGCATTCCATGCGAAACCCTTGAGATCCTGACCACATTGACACCGGAGCCCCGGAAAATACTGAGCACACCATCTTGAAGGAGCAAACGGAAGCCCGAGACCTTACCATCCAACAGAACTCAGACGCAGAGAGCTGCATGCGCTGCCCTGAAATGATCCATCAGTCGGGTCGAGATCGCATCTGGTCCATTGTTTCGACGTCATTTCTGCCCTTTTATGGAAGTCTTTCGTTGTTGTCGTTGTTGCTCAGCTGGAATTCTATTGAATTCTTACGCTTACAAGGAAACTCAGGCAGTGCCATCTTTGGACGTTTCCTGACACAGCCTGTGGGCCTGCAACCAGGGCACTGAGCCGGTGATTCGGCATGGATGTCCTGCTCGGAGCCCGGTGGTTAGTAGGCCATTGGACACAAGGCCAGCTTCCGCTTGAACCCTGCGGGAGCGAAGATTCGGACCAGGTTGAAAGTGTTGAATGTGTTGAGTGTTGAAGATTGATGAAGATCATTCAAGGAGGACTTTTCGTAGGTGTTGGCTGCTGTGGCTATTGCACCATCAATGTTCTCGTGACTACTGTGCGATCCAACCAAATCTGTCGGGATATTCGGGTATTGATCCCCAGTTGGAAAAACCGCCAACTAGATCAACTAGCTCTTCAAATGGGCCCATGGCTGCCCTGCCTGATGCGCACCAAGTCGAAAGGACTGGCCAACAAACCGGAGAGAGCGCCCAGAACCACGCCAGCACTGAACTTGCTCCCAAGCCCGGCCTGGTCTTCGCGAGTTGCGCTGATAGACCTGGTTACCTGATGTTACCTGCTTACTTCGCGAAGGGGCTACTGCGGTCTGGCAGGACGTTGACCGGGCGTGTCTGAAAATGTGATCATGTGTGATATACCCCCAAATGGTCATTTTGACAGGGAAAATAATGATGATGAATCACTGCAGATTTGGGGGTACCCTATTTTCAGACTTCAGACAAACCCATTCAGCTGCGGGTGGTGCTCCACAACGGATTGAAGGGCTTGAAGGATTCTGATTCTTTCGGTCGGCAGCTCATCTGATACACATCACATCTGCGTGCAGCTCAACATTAGGGCAGCAATGGGGCCACAAAAATTGGCCTTTCCAGTATTCAACCAGCCCAATTTTGGTATATGTTTGAGCATCAACCTCACTTTGGGCCATAAATAGTTTCGAGTCATATCTATCAATCTATTGATTGCAGCCATGGCAAAGATGCAAGTACATTACATCAGAAATATCTTGTCCCCAACGGCAGCTTCTCTGCAGCTCAAAAACGTCGCCGCCACCTTTACCCTGGCGTCGGACGGAGAAAAAATGCCATGGAAAAAATGCGCTAGAGAACAGCAAAATGATCCAAAATGTACCTCATGGCCCAATGGATGAACGGCAATCTGGCAGGCTGAACCTTTGCAATGAAGGACATCGCATCTCGGACTGCTGGGTAAGCACCAATGCGGGTGCCAACCACTGTGCATTCTCTTCCTAAGACGATGAGTTAGTGAGTCACCAGCGTGTCCAAGGGATCAACGCCAGTCTGAGGCACGGTCCCAAAGATGCAAGCATGCCAGTGCTCCAAAGTGCCAGAAGTCCTGCCCACAAAACACGGACATGCTGCTCTGTTGCATTTGGACATATTTAGATTTAAGTTATTCAAACCATGAATCAGGCCAGTTCACTCTGCATCTCAAAACTCGTCGAGTTTCTCACCAGCTAAAGCTTCCTTCTTCGGCAAAGATTCTCTGAGCAGTTCCCCGGAAGCCACCATTGTAAGGTGCTGCTGTACACCCAGATGCTGGCACACCTTGCCGCTCGCGGCAGCGGCAAAAATCCACGCTTCTGGCCAATCTTGGATACCCTGCATGTGTTTTCTCCTAGCTGGCTGGCATATTTGTATATATATATATACATGTGTGTATAGACACATATGCCAATGCTGATCAGTATGTATTTTATATATAAACATACACAGGTATATATATATATATGTGTGTGTGTGTATCTACCTATCTATCTATCTATCTATCTATCTATTTATCTATCTATCTATCTATCTATCTATCCTATCCTATCCTATCCTATCTATCTATCTGTGCGTGCACGCATGAATCCTCATTTGCAGCAACAGATTGAAGTACTAGACTATCCAAAGTTGACCCAGAAACGATGTAATTCTCGCCTTGCATTCGTGTTTTGATCACATCAGTCCAGTTGAGCGCTGTTGGCACAGCAGTTGCAGCTACCATGGCTGCACCAACCTCTTTCACAGGCCTGCTCACCATGGCTGCGAGGGTTTGAGTTCTGATTCGCTGACAAACTCATGAGTGAGCTACATACACTACGATGTCTTCAAAAAGGAGAAAAAAAGCTGCGGAACAAAGAAAAAAGACGTGCCTTCCCCTGTGAAGCTTTCACGGGCCAAGCTGCAGATTGAGCATGTTTGAGCCATATTTACTTGTTGCCTTCACTTCCTGCATGTCTGAAGATGTCTGCACTTGCTGAATGAGCACTTGTGGCTGAGGAGAAAGTGATAAAGGCAGCCCAAAAACCACCGCTGCGCAACTAGCAGCACCCCGCACCCTCGGTCAGGATCTCCCTGAACCCTTCAAGCCAGGGCGCGAGATGTCCAACTTGACCAGCGTTGCACTCATTGACTGCAAAAGGTGCACGATGATCTCTGAATGGCTGGAACCAAACCAATTCCCACGCAGATTCAGGGACTGAAGCTGCAGCCCTGCTGGCAGCAAGGTTTCAACTCCCGTGGTTCCCAAGCCATTCAGTGAGAGGTCCAAAGTACTCAAAGGCAGCTGTGACAGGGAACGCACCAGGGCCGCCAAACCTGCTGGTCCCAGTCCATTTCCTCCAAGCAAAAGCGTCTGCAACTGGGGCGTACACTGCAAAAATTCTCCTAAGAAGTTGGCACCTTCCAGGCACAGCGCGTTCATGGAGAGATCCAGGGTCAACAAATTCTTGAATGGAAGGGATACCAGTGTCTCACAAAGGAATTTCAGAGGTGCTGCGCCCGGGCCAGTGAGACCACATTGCCTGAGCATCAGTGATGACAGCCCTGTTGCTCCTTCCAGAAAGCATCCCATTGGCTGCATGACATCTGCCAGGGGCACCAACTCCACAGAGAAGGTTTCCACATCCCAATGGCTCGCGTGTGTTGCCAGTGCTTTAAAAATGGGGGAGGCCTCCAAGTTTTGAGCATCCTGGAGGGTCCCATCCTCGAGAGCTCAAAGAGGGCTTTCAAAAAAAAATGTGGGAGTTCAACTGGTTAAACAATTGGAAAAAAGTCAGCAAATTCATCCAAATCTTCGCCCAGGCATCCTGGCAATCCTGGCGGCATTTCTCCACATATCTTCCCTTCACCCCCAGCTGCTTCACTGGTGCCCCCCGCAGTAGCTCCACACATCGCGCTGTCGTCGCCCAGAACTTCTCCGTGTCCCCCTGGCAGGCCTGGAACTGCAGCTCCACGAGGCGCTGACACCAAGGTGCAGCTCGCGTCACAAGGCCCAAGGGTAAATCTGACGCGATGACCTAGGCACAAGACCAACCAAAAATTGATCTGACTTGATGGGTATATGATATGATATATATATATATATAATATATATATAATAATGTATATATATATGTATATAATAATGTGTATATATATATATAATAGAATATATATATATGTATTGGGAATATCAACCAACAAGATGATATATATATATATAGAGAGAGAGATTATACGTATGTGGATAATTGTAGATATATATTGTAGGATTGGGTATATCAACCAACAAGATGATAGGCAATAATAGGGATATGTCTGACAATGTGGTATGCCTCACAACAATGGCAATTTTGACAGGAAAAAGCGATAATTAACTAGTGGATTTAGGGGGACCCCTGTTGAACCGATTGCGGTGAAAATAAAGGAAAAAAATAATGTGAAGAGGTACTCCAGCAGCTGCTGGAGCAAAGAGCCAGCATCTAACTGGGCATATCAACAAAAAAAAGTCGCAGTAGTATTACCAAATAGCCCATTTTTATTATGGTTGAATTTCTCCAACTTTTGGGGTTCCATATCTGCCTTTGATCAAAAAAAATCCGCCCCCACCTCGCCCATGGTCCAAGTGGCTAAACGCCTCAAATGCGCTGCAACGAGCTTCACCCAGTCGGAGGCTAAGATCATCAACTGCAACGCCTGTCGCTGGGGCAGCCAGGACAAGGTGCGGCTTAGGACCTGCGCGTCCAAGCGCTGAAGGAGATCCATGGCTGCAGCCCTTACATAGGCCTCATATATGGTAAGTACCTCCAATTTAGGTAGAAATTGCCATTGACCTACTTCTCTCTCTCTCTCTCTCTCATGAAGTTATGTACAGGTGTGTGTTTCTTGACATGCCTTTGTGTAGATAAATCGGCTGGGCAGCATTTGCATCATTGTATTTCTGCATTGTTGGTTGACAGTGACAGCTTGCCAATGTGGGTGCCAAGATGGGAATGTCACTAGAAATCCGTGTTTTGAAGCAATGCTTAACCTTTATGATTTGGTGCAAATGGGTATAGAAAGTAGTGCAAGAGTTGGGGTCACAAATAATTTCCAGTTTGCAAATGGGCTTCTCCCCAAATCGATCAGTTGCAGGTCTAAAGATCGATTGTTGGGGTCTCCCCAACTTATTGAAGCTATAATAGTGCAGCCATGTGCAGCCTATATATATGTATATAATTATATATATATCCCTGTTTTGTTGCAGTGGTCCCTGTGTTCGCTTGCTGTCTTTATCTGTCTTTATCATCTGAACTGAAACCAGTAAGTTCATGCTTCCCCGGTGCTCTTGAGGCACGAAGCGCTTGGGCTGTGTACGAAGCAGAAGCTAAAGCTTCACTCGTGCGACCTTGTTACTGAACAGAGTCGGATAATTATTGCGTCTTGTTGCGTTCCCCCAAATGGTGTCCAATCCATGGCAGTACCCCCAAATCATCAAATGTTAGACCATTTTAGTATTGAACACTATGGTGACTTGGGGATCCCCCATGGCTTGAGAAACCCCCAAATCTCTGACCATCCCAGGGCCATTTTTTGCCGCCGGCAGTTTTGCTGCGGCTTTTTCTGCCGTCCCCGTGGTGCCTTTGGCCAAACAGGAACCGCACAACAGCGACCTCCACGGCAGGGATAGGTGAGCCACACCATTTCAGGCGATGGTTGGCTTGGACCTTGATTTCAGCCATGACATTTCAGTAGCGCTTTTTGGTAACAGCAAAACAATCCCATCATCGATGGAACACTCTTTCAATCAGGTGGATCCCTCTTCAAACCAATTTTCGCCTGGTTGTAGGCTTCCATCATCAAGTCTTCACGCTAATAAGCGGTCACTATGTGAAATTATGCATAATTATGTCGTTTTTCGGCAGACAGAATAGATGAACACTGGAGGATATCATAGATACTTAATATTCACACTTTTAAACATTCTTCTATATGACTCTAGAATATTCTATCATTTTCTATCATATTTGTGATTAAAATTATGATATATGAATTCTTCTACAATATTCTATCGTATTAACATGATCTATGTACTGCGGCAGTGAAACCTCCACAAGTCCAAGCTGCACCGGTTCATTCAGGTGCTGAACACCCACCCTTGCAGTGGTAGCTTCGTAAAGGCGTTGACTGGCAAAGCTAAGAGTACAAAAAGGATGTTTATGACTCATGTATGACTATTAGTTGCGTACATGTTCACACAGAGATGTGCAAATAGAATTCACAATTGGTATTTGTTCACACTAGTTGCGCACTTGGCTGCGCACCCTGTCCGTTGCCTTGCAATATTTAGGTTTGGGTTGACTTTAGCGAAATACAGTTGACGAACTCGTGAAACTTTCCTATGTACATATCTATGCACACATAGAGAGAGAGAGAGAATGAGAGAGCGGGAGAGATTGATACTATCTGATACCTAGATAGATAAATAGATAGATACATAGGTAGGTAGGTAGAGGTAGGTAGAGGTAGGTAGAGGTAGGTAGAGGTAGGTAGAGGTAGGTAGAGGTAGGTAGAGGTAGGTAGAGGTAGGTAGAGGTAGGTAGAGGTAGGTAGAGGTAGGTAGAGGTAGGTAGAGGTAGGTAGAGGTAGGTGGTAGGTAGGTAGGTAGGTAGGGTAGGTAGGGTAGGTAGGTAGGAGGTAGGTAGAGGTAGGTAGAGGTAGGTAGAGGTAGGTAGAGGTAGGTAGAGGTAGGTAGAGGTAGGTAGGTAGAGGTAGGTAGGTAGAGGTAGGTAGAGGTAGGTAGAGGTAGGCAGAGGTAGGCAGAGGTAGGCAGAGGTAGGCAGAGGTAGGCAGAGGTAGGCAGAGGTAGGCAGAGGTAGGCAGAGGTAGACAGAGGTAGGTAGGTAGATAGGTAGGTAGATAGATTAGACACAGGATGGAGAGATTTATATATGCTATCTGATGTTTGCATTCAAGATTGCGAACACTAACCTGTCGTCTCCATTCGTCTCCAGTAGAGACGGATTACCTTGATCTGAGGTGTAGTGATGCTTTGTCAGCGCACATCTTCACCGATTTTTCGGTTATCGGACCCAGAAATGGTCCAATAAAGTCAAAAAGGTGCTTCAACTATACAAGTATCTGGCAGATGGCTTCAACCTCTAGGACAAATTCAATCGGGATCATTATTGACAATCAATCCGCGTAGGATAGAAAATGGAAAAATTGAAACCACAAACCAAATGTACTGCAAGCGTAAGTGATGAGTCACGAACCTGACGCTTCGTGCCCTGGCTGTAGCTTCGGCATTCCTGATTCTAGCATCACGTCGGTGGGTCAAGATCCTGTTTGACAAACATTGTCAAAATGAAGGCTGCACTTGCCCATTCTGGGACGTTCATATATTCTTTCTACAAGCCCATCTTTTGGCCGTTTTTGTGACCCACTGCCATGATTTCATGCCTATGATGTCGGCAAGACCATCTTTCCTCCTTCTTCGGTGCCAGCTGGTGGCGGGTACATGACGTACTGAAGGGAAGTGTCGTTGATCTCAGTCACCAAGTCAGCCACCAAATCTTGCAAGCTCTGTTAGGGTTCCATCATGTTCCATCCATATCAAAACACCATCCAACACTGGCACATCCGAATGAATCACTAGAAAGGTGCAAATGGGTTTCGATGATGTGCATTAGGTTCTGGGATGTTCTGGGTCAATTCTAATATTTCGCTGACCATCATTGACCTGTCACTAAAGGCTACATTGGGAGAATTCCCCTCAACCATCCTTAACCATCATCAGGTCGCAACGTGAGGTCAGGGCACACAGTGGCGCTGGCCAGTTTTCTTCGCACCATCGTCCGGATCAAAAATGTGCCCCAAATGTCCATCGCAACATGCCTAGGGTCGCTGCTTTTCCTGCGAAAACAGAGTGATTTTTATGCCTCGAAATTGATCACCCCACCTGACACCTGAGGCAAAAAAAATCCAAACCTGATAAGTCTGGGAAGTTTTTGTAGCTTGAATGTACGTGCAAAAGGGACTGCGCATGCAATTTAGCAATGCTAAATGAAGTATGAATGATTCAGGATAGACCCTGGCAAGGTTCACATTTGACTTCGACTCTTCCATCGCTCTCCAGTGCCAATGTCACAGAGTCTTTGCAGCTTTCCTCAAAAGAGGACCAGATTTGTCAGTGAACAAACTTCGCTTGGGCCAAGTAGACTGCCTCAGCAAATCCCAGCCCAACCTTCTGCTTCCCGGTGGACACCAGCTCTCAAGAACCGAAACAGCTTGAAAACTGAGCACTGCGTGCCTAAATAAAGATCTGAAGACTTCAGTAAAAGAATGTGCTTAAATATACGTATATTGTGCGTGTAATTATGTATATACATATATCTATATACATACATATATACATACATATAATTATATATATACAAATATATATATATTATATTATATTATGTATATATATTATATATATATATATGTTATTATATATATATTATATATATATATACATATTTATGTATACATACATATTTATTATATATAATTTGATCCCTTTTTTAATGTTGCCCAGTGACTGTCCCGCACCTTTTGCACGCGAAATACCCGCGGCTCGGCATAAATTTCCGCCCCGAATATGGCCCTTCTTCGATGTCAGTGGCACCTGCGAAGACCTCAGGGATTTCAGGGCGAAAATCTGCGGGAAATCTGCAGGAACCATTTTTTACCCCAAAAAAAATTAAAACGGGAAGTAAGCCCTGGAATACCTTGTAAATCTTGCCTGAAACCAATTCTGGGAGCCAATAGGAGCCAATCCATGCTTTCAACAGATATTTCTGAGCCACCCGCCGCCAGTTCCCATTCCGACAAAGGATCCTGCAAGCACGGATTCTCGCCTCTTGTTTGAGACTTGTTTTTTTCAACTGTTCAACCTGACTGCCTTTTGCATTCTTGAGAGTAACCCAAATCTCACCTCGGTAGATCAGGAGCACGATCGGTCCTTCCCTTTGAAGCCCTCAGGAGCGGAGAGGCTCTCCTCCTGAAGTACCAAAATGAAATTGCCCTCAAGTATCCTCCAGTAGTCCAGCATGGCAGCCAGAAATCCACTACATGCGGGGTGGTCTTGATGGGGAAATCATCTTATTCAGAACTTATTCACCTTTGAATTAGGATTGTCCACTGCCAAATTAAATTACCAGTGGATCATGGAAAACCATGGCCACGGCATGACATGTGGACTTTCGGGCCCTCCTTTGCAGCCAGCTCCGCCTCTTGCTTCTCCTTGTAGCTCATCCCTCCCTTGCCTGCGACCGGTGCATCTAAGCCCACGCCTGAATATCTCAAGTTACCTGTAGGAAAAAAGTTGCCACTGCAGGCGGAAGTGAACATGTAATGATGATTTTCTTGAACCATCACAATGGTCAGTGGTTACAAAGGTGTTAGTGAATTTTCCAGAGGCCCCAAAATGATGACGCGCAAATCGGCTCGCCAAAAGCCCAGGCCTTTTGCCGCCTTTCCCGGACCTTTTCCTTTGCTCTTCGCAGCCTGTGGCTGTTCTCCTTCATCTTGAGTTGGCAGGCTTGGTGCAACACCTTGGCCGGCCCATTGCTAACTGGATGCCCCATTTAAAATGATTCTGGGCAAAGTATGGGATGAACCCCCTAAATTGCCCATCATTCATGGTGAGCTTGGCCTGAGCTTCAGCGGATGTTCAGAGTCTGGGCCCCGTGCCTTCCACTTCCACAGCGTTCTTCACAATGTCTCCTGGCAGGCTTGGTGCAACACCTCGGCCGGCCCATTTAAAATGGTTCCGGGCAAAGTATGGGATGAACCCCCTGGTGAGCTTGGCCTGAGCTTCAGTTGCTTTTTCCAATGTTTTCTAGATTTGTGCAGGACGGATGTTCAGAGTCTGGGCCCCGTGCCTTCCACAGCGTTCTTCTCAATGTCTCCTGGCAGGCTTGGTGCAACACCTCGGCCGGCCCATTGCTAACTGGATGCCCCATTTAAAATGATTCCGGGCAAAGTATGGGATGAAACATGAAACCCCCAAATTGCCCAGCATTCATGGTGAGCTTGGCCTGAGCTTCAGTCGCTTTTCTAAATTGGCACAGGACGGATGTTCAGAGTCTGGGCCCCGTGCCTTCCACAGCGTTCTTCTCAATGTATCCCGACACGACCTCCAGCCACGACCGGGTCCCAACAGCCCCAGCTGACAGGTGGAGCCCTTGCCTGCGGGACCACAGCTGCAGCGCTAGGCAAGCCTGGCAGCTGACACATTGGGATCTCCACAACTTTCACCAAGTCTGGTTCCATCAAAGCCCGAAAAAACTTAGAGCCAGTTAAAATAATCGGCAATCATTTGTTGATGGAGAAGAATAAAAGGCAAAAAAATGAAACCAACCAAGATTTCTTCTTGGATTTGTGGACCCCCAAGCAGCATCATCCCGAGGCCAGGTGGCTTGGGGGAGCCGGTGGGCCCGGCGGATCTGCCGCGGGCACTCCGGGGAGAGGCGGCGGTTCTGGCACGCTGGGCGCGGCATGGGACCGGTTCCAACAGCAAAGGGCCGTCATGGCGCTGAGGACGAGCCACCGGGGGAGCCGACGCAAACGACCGGCCCCACCGATGTCACCACCAAATTCCTGTTTCGGGTGAGGGAAAAATCTAAATTATTGGCAAGATGGACAGTTGAGAAGCGGCATTCGTTCAAAGATTGGACGCGCGCTCTGGCCGAAGCCCCTGATTGCGCGTAGTGTTGAGCCAGGACATGGATTTGGAAGGCAATGCTTGCGGGTCACCCTACGTGCACTCGAGAAGGCTCAGTCCGACCTGTATTCAAACTGCAGAAATGAAAGCCCCAAGGAATTTTGAGTGAACTGTACGCAATTCCCAGAGTGATTGAGTACCTTGGAGCAAGAGCTTTTTCGCAACCTGCTTGGTCACCATGTCCAAAAGTGAGTCAGTCGCTTTGGACTCTTGTTGTGGCTGGGTCTGAGTGACATTCTCTGCCATCTTCAAATGCAGGGTCAGTGATGAAACCCTCCGCTCCTCGACATCACACTCGAAGAAGTCACCCAGAATGTCCTTAGCAAAGTGCTCAAAGAGGGAGCTGGAATCAAACTCAAAGAACTCCTAGACGCACGAGTCAAAGCAAGACAAAATCGAGCTGGGTTTGGTTTGTCCAAAAATGTGATGGACCATTTTGACGATCTAGGACATGATGAAATCGGAGGACTTTAGGCTATTATATATGTTGTTATGATGGGCTATGATTTCCCCTATTCTTGGACAAAGCCTCAACAGATCTCAACAGATCTCCACTGAATCCCAGTGTCATCCACCACTTCCACCGTCCCATGACGTGCTTCATATGTCACCCATTGCCCGTAGTGTTGCAGGACGTCTTGGGTCAGGTGGAGAGCTTTGGTGATGCACGGGCCCATGGCGTGGATCAAAACTTCACTGTGCCCTCGGTCGAAGAGCTTCCTGGCCCAAGCTGGAAAGGGGGTTATGACATGTTCATTTATTGGCTGCGGGGATGAGTATGCATCTTGTCTACAATAATTGACCAAAGGTGGCAAAACCATCTACTCACATGATCTGCGGTGTTCAAAAAAAAAATGTAAGTATGAACTACTAGACTAAAACCATCTAAAACCCGCTAGGGTGTGGATTTTCGGAGTGAACATGTTGACCCACAGCCCCACGGCTTCGAGGTGAGGAGGTGAGGGCGGCCACCTCACAATCTTGAAGAGTACCGCCAGGTTCTGACGTCGCGCCACATAGACCTGGGCAACCAGGACACATTGGCAGATGGCGATCTCACCGGCCGTTCGAACGAAAGTCGGCAACGTTGGGGTTATGCCAAGCAAGATCAACATATTCGACCTATATTAATCTATATTATATACTGTAACTTAACTTTAACTGAGTGTGACCTTTCTGAGTAGGATCTTACTCACCCATTACAACTTGGGGATCACCGCAGCTGGTAAGAGGTCAACCCTCCTGGCCTTCTCTCATTACAGAAGAGGCTAACCCCGGTCACGCGGCTTATTGGACCATATCCGTCCATGTTCCGACTTTGCATGGGTCATACCACCTTCGCCAAAATCAATGGGAATCAGATACATTCAGGTAGGGGAAGGTGATTCTTGACCAGCTCCTTGGCATCAGTTTCATGGGTCACACGGTCACACCTTCCAGTTTCATCCAACATAAACTCACAAAATTCTGCTGGGATCATTTTTGGATCATCTGGGATCTCAGAAAAACCGCATGGCCTGGGAGTCCCTTGGGACGGGCCTCATTCTCCGCTGTGCTCCGCTGCGGGGGCCGCCGCTGCCGCAGGCTCGGGCCCGGCGTGCCGGAAGCCATCGCTGATCCTGGAGTTGGCCTGATTTTATAGCCAATTCATTGGGAAACTAGGGGAAATTCATGGTAAATCAATGGGGTTATGGGGGTACACCCTGTTCTTGAACAAAGCCATGTGACCGAACTAGGAAGATCATGACTCATTGATACATAAAACACCAAACAACAGCGTAAGTCTTGGCCACATTGTGGATTATGAAGCCATTTAAGCAAACAAAATAAAACTGCCGATTTATTTCGAAACCAACAAGGAACCGTGACTTAATTGTGCATTGATTGATCATTGCATTTGTTCATTTTCGAGTCACATCTAGGGAATTGTGATTGGGGCAATGCTACCACTAGTCACGTATTTACAGCTGATATTCCTATTTCAAATAGAGATCCTCCATTGCCATCCATTGCCAGGTTTATTCACTTAAGATTTGGTATTCTGATGAGTTCTAACATGCTACATGCTGTCCACATAGATCGCCGTCTTGATGGAAATACGGCTACATATCAAGGATTCTCAATCTGCCTGCTGTGAGATTTTTGCAGGCCACTCTTGAGAAAGTTCAACAAGATTTGGCCAACTTTTTTGCACAAATCCTCTCCAAACTAAGGCCGTTGCCTTCTGCTCCTACGAAAGAATCGCAAAGGAATCCAAAGGATGAACTTTTTACGTTCAACGTCAGACTTGGCGCATGTAGCCTGCATTTCTGGCCCACTTAATGTAGGCAGCCCATGCTGGATCTGCGCTCAAGGTGCGCGCATCTCCGATGATCACCAAACCACGTCGTGCTCGTGTGATCATCACATTGAGCCGCCTCCAATCGGCCAGGAAGCCCACACCGCGGCGCGGGTTGCTGCGGACCGCGCTGAATAAAATCAACCTGCGCGACCAACGAAGGCGGTTGCTGGAAGATGGTGGTGCCTGGAACGAATTACCGAATAAGTTTCAAATAAGACGCGCAGGAAATTCCTGGAAATTTCTTGTATCACAACACAACTCAAGAGAGGCAATTGCAAGAATCAAGAGCGAAATCGGCAGTGATCACGTCCGATCAAATCTATCGCACAGCAAGAAAACTTCCGCAAGAGCATCAACTGATGTGGTAAACCCTGCAGTGATTTCCCCATGGTCTTGAGTTTCATAACCTCCAGGTTGCAAAATTGGGTTTGTCCGGACCGGAAATGCATTATACCTCCAAAATCCGCATTGTAATGGGGTAATGATCAAATCAGCCACCTCAATTAATCATGTCCAACAGGGGGGCTCCAAAACCAGTTCGACATGAAAGATTATGGAAGCTGCATCCAGTCTGCCCCAATTCATTACTAAAGCAAATCCAACTCCAGCTAGCAAGCTAGCTTTCGTGATAACCATCTTTCAACTGGTAGGATGATTCTTGGGTTAGCAGCTTCGCACATTAAACCCATCCCCCTAACATCAAATAAAACACATTCAATTCCCAAATATGCAAATATGTAGTTGCATCACATATTAAACAATGATTTCTTGGGAGGAAGGGATTCATGTGAGTAAAGCAATGTCGTGAAAACCACCCATATTTTGGTGAGATTCATATCATTCATGGTAAAATTGGGTGAACGTTCAGGCCCAAGTCACTCTTTTTCCCGTCCCTGAAATGAATCCACGGACGCCACTAAGAGCTCGCGGAAGTTCTCCAAGCGAAGGTTTTGACGAAGCGCCCGGCGCAGTCTTCGAACCTGACCTTGGTGGAAACCAGCCCTCCCTTGGCTTTAGAATTGGACATGTACCCTAAATTAGCATAGATATGGGAAGCCTATCAAAACCTACCGTGTGTAGATCCTGTTCTTACACAAACCACATTTTTTCTATACTAACACCGTACTTAAGTCACATCAGGCGGGAAAAGTCACATCATCCCCATGGCACGGCGGCGATACGGAGAAGTCACATCAGGTAGTGGAAAGTCACATCAGGGAAGAAGAATCACCATGGCACAGCCTGTTTCATCTATACTTGGAGATGTAGTTAAAAGTAGCCGAAGCATTGCGCACAGCGATGCTTTTGAAGGGCACAAGTTAATACAAACAAATTCTCGGCAGCTAATCCTATTGGATTTGAATATATATATATATTATATTGATGTCCTGCGTCGCGTGATCAAATCAAACCCCTATTGGTACAGCCTCAAAATTCTTGCAATGCAAGTGGGTTAGCTGTAGCAAATCCTATTGGCAGGGCTGTGATCTAGGATGATATAAGGATATGGGGGGCCCTTGTTTTCCGCAACCAAATCTATGGCTGGCGCGATGTGCATCAATGTCGTGGACAGCTCTCAAGAAGTTTGTTGTCCTATCCGCCCAGGAATTACGAATTGGAAAAAAACCTTCATTCCATTGCGGGCGGAAAGCGTGGCAGGTTTTGTCGGTGCTCCGTCTGCGCCCTCTGTTGTGTCTGTTCCGTCTTGCGCCGTCTTGCCGTCTGCGCTGTCTTGCGAGATGGTGCGAGATGGCGCAGATGGTGAGCACAGCGACACAACCGCGCTATGTGACCGCAATGTTTCATTCCAACCAGCCAGAAACATTCCCTCTCTCTGCCTGCTGGTGTCTCCCGCCCGTACCTCCCGTCAGCGCCAAACAAGGCGACCGAGACTGTTATTTTCTGTTTCGGCAAAATGTTTGCACGAGCGGCAGCAGCAGCAGGCGGAAGCAGCAGCAGCAGCAGGAGGAAGCAACAGCAGCAGGAGGCAGCAGCAGCAGCAGCAGCAGAAGGGCGCACAGCAAGCAGCAGAGAAGAGCAGCAGCAGCAGCAGCAGGAGGCAGCAGCAGCAGCAGAAGAGGCGGCAGCAGCAGCAGCAGCAGAAGAGGCAGCAGCAGCAGAGGAGGCAGCAGCAGCAGCAGAAGAGGAAGCAGCAGCAGCAGCAGCAGAAGAGGAAGCAGCAGCAGCAGCAGAAGAGGCAGCAGCAGCAGCAGCAGGCGGAGGAAGCAGCAGCAGCAGCAGCAGGAGGCAGCAGCAGGAGGCAGCAGCAGCAGCAGCAGCAGAGGCAGCAGAGGCAGCAGAGGCAGCAGCAGCAGCAGCAGAAGAAGAGGCAGCAGCAGCAGCAGCAGCAGGAGGCAGCAGCAGGAGGCAGCAGCAGCAGCAGAAGAGGAAGCAGCAGCAGCAGAAGAGGAAGCAGCAGCAGCAGCAGGAAGCAGCAGCAGCAGCAGGAGAAAGCAGCAGCAGCAGCAGGCAAGCAGCAGCAGCAGCAGGCAAGCAGCAGCAGGCAAGCAGCAACAGGCAAGAAGCAGCAGGCAAGCAGCACAAAGCAGCAGCAGGAGGAGGAAGCAGCAACAGCAGCAGGAGGAGGAAGCAGCAGCAGCAGGAGGAGGAAGCAGCAGCAGCAGCAGGCAAGCAGCAGCAGCAGCAGCAGGAGGAGACAGCAGCAGGCAAGCAGCAACAGGCAAGAAGCAGCAGGCAAGCAGCAGGTGAGCAGCAGGTGAGCAGCAACAGGTAAGCAGCAGCAAGCAGCAGCAAGTAGCAGGCAAGCAGCAGGGAAGCAGCAGGCAAGCAGCAGGCAAGCAGCAGGCAAGCAGCAGGCAAGCAGCAACCAGCGTTTGCCCCCTTGAAAGAATGATCAAATATATTTTTAATTACACCGGCATAGACCCCAGATAGAAAAGGTTGGAACTGACGGTTCCCAACGTGGGAACCAAAGGTTACCATGGCAAGGAACTGCCGGTTCCCAGACCTTGAAACTTACGGTTCCCAACCTGGGAACCAGAGGTTACCATTGCAAGGAATTGCCGGTTCCCAGAAGTTAGAATTTATGTTTTCGAAGTTAAGCAACTATCATTGTAAGGAACTGCAGATTCCCAAAGTTTGAAACTCATGGTTCCAAACCTGAAAAAGCATACGGTACCAGTGGAAGGATCTGTTGATTCCAAAAAGTTAGAACTCATGGTTCTTAATGTTGTTTTGTTTTGTTTGCTGAGCCGGTAACAGAACCTTTTGTTTTGCTTAATGGACCGGTAGCGGAATGTGTGCGTTCGGCTGCTGGGCCGGCATTTTTTTTTGCACGAAAAAGGTGCATGTCAAAATGATATGAAAACAGTTTCTTTACAATTTTATGGTTTTGCTTAATGGACCGGTACCGGAATGTTTGCGTTTGGTTCATGGCAAGGAACTGCCGGTTCCCAAAGGTTGGAACTCACTGTTGCCAACGTGGGAACCACAGGTTACCATTGCAAGGAACTGCCGGTTCCCACAAGTTAGAAGTCATGGTTCCCACAATGGGAACCATGGGTTACCATTGCAAGCAACTGCCGGTTCCCAGAGGTTGGAACTCATGCTTCCCAACCTGGGAACCATAGGTTACCATTGCAAAGAACTTCCGGTTCCTAAAGGTTGGAACTGACGGTTCCCAACGTGGGAACCAAAGGTTACCATGGCAAGGAACTGCCAGTTCCCAGACCGGTTCCCAAAGTTTGAAACTCATGGTTCCAAGCCTGAAAAAGTAACGTTACCAGTGGAAGGATCTGTTGATTGCAAAAAGTTAGAACTTATGGTTCTTAATGTTGTTTTGTTTGTTTACTGAGCCGGTAACAGAACCTTTTGTTTTGCTTAATGGACCGGTAGCGGAATGTTTGCGTTTGGTTCATGGCAAGGAACTGCCGGTTTCCAAAGGTTGGAACTCACGGTTGCCAACGTGGAAACCACAGGTTACCATTGCAAGGAACTGCCGGTTCCCAGAGGTTGGAACTCCTGGTTCCCAACCTGGGAACCATGGGTTACCATTGCAAGCAACTGCCGGTTACCAGAGGTTGGAACTCATGCTTCCCAACCTGGGAACCATAGGTTACCATTGCAAAGAACTTCCGGTTCCTAAAGGTTGGAACTCATGGTTCCCAACGTGGGAACCAAAGGTTACCATGGCAAGGAACTGCCGTTCCCAAACGTTGAAACTTACGGTTCCCAACCTGGGAACCAGAGGTTACCATTGCAAGGAATTGCCGGTTCCCAGAAGTTAGAATTTATGTTTTCGAAGCTAAGC